CAGCATTGGTGAGTAGAAGCCTCAGCAGACTCCAACTCACCACATCAGGACAATTCTACTGCGCCTATAAAATGTCAATTACACACACTGAATGTTAAACCGCCTAAAAGTTTTATTACCTACAGCGTCCTACAGTTTTATACTAAGTATTAAATATAAGTTAAATATAACCAAATATACCAGATCATCATAACTTGTAAAGGTCAATTTCCTCTGTGCTGAGCAGCAGCTACTCACCCCTCTCGGTCTGTCTGATGTTGTGATGAGCACTTTGGGGTTTGTCAGCCCGTTGAAGTAGGCGGAAAATTCATCAGTTCCCTCGTCAAATGCAATCTACACACAACAGGACACACACACACACACACACACACACACACACATTAATGCAAATTCATTACAACTATAACGTGAGATTGTCTGAACAAGCTCAGCCGTACCTCTTCATCTTCTGGGTCAACTGTTGTCTCGTCGTACACCCTCTGGTTTTCTATCGTCTTTGGGACCTCTTTTGGTGGTGCCTTCATTGGGGACAGAATAAAAAATGAATGCCCAAGATAGCTATACCTTGTTAAATGGTAAAATCCATCCTTCTAGATGCCACTTAATAAACTGTCTCTGTCTTTGATTGATTACTAAAACATCTGAGACATGGCAGAGAAAAGAAACTCACCTTGTCGCCTAAAGCGTCCCTTTCTTTTTTCTTCTTTTTCTTCAGCTGCATCTTTTGCTGAAATGAAATGTGGCGGCAGAGAAAACATGAAAATTCCAGGCAGAGGGTGCTGGTAATTTATATTTACTGCTGCACTGAAAGTTAATCAATTTATTAATAGACTTCCCTTTATCTCTTTCTCTTTAAAAATAAAACTACTAAACAATTTCTGGTTCCAGTTAAACAGGTGTTATACAAGTTGCTCTATTTATCTTTATATTGAATGCTTTGGATTTTTGGGCTGCTGGTAAGACCAATACAGTGAGTTTAGTTTGAGTAAAAATCTATTGTCTGTGTTAGAAAAGCTTTGATTTAACAAAGACTGGAAGAAATATATCATTATCAATGTGTCTGCAGTGCAGATTATTTTCTTAATTGATAAGCCTTTTAGTCTACAAAATGTTCCCAGAACCAAAGATGATAGCATGAAATAAACGACAAAGAACTGCAATGGCTAGCCGGCCAATTGATATGTTGCTCAATATAAAATTACTCTGCGATAAGTTTAATAGTTTAAGTTTCGGCTCAATTTAATTTTATTTATAAAGCCCAATATCACAAATCACAATTTGCCTCAGAGGGCTTTACAGCATACAACATCCCTCAGGGATCCCTCTCTCAGGACAGACAGGGTGCAATAAATGTCGTGTACAGAAGAGATCAACAAAATAAATTTACAGTAATCCATATGACAAAATAAGACATAAAGAGAGGGAGATGCAGGGCAGACAGTGATGACAATAGCTACAACATTTAAGCAATAATATTATGATACTAATAATAGTATTTTGATAGCATATATGTTATATGTATATATTAATATATGACAGAATATGTATGTGACAATAATAGTTAATTATCAAGCATAAATGCAAATATCTTTTGGTTCCAGCTTCTCAAATGTGATGCTTTTCTGCTTATGGCATTGTTATGTCTTTATAAAATAAATATTGTAAAGTCTTAGACTGTTGGCAAGACAAAACAAGCGACATGAACATGTCATCTTGGGTTCTGATTCTTTATAAACTATGTGATGAATGGATTTTATGGAAAACATAATTGAAATTGGTCAATCAATAATGAAAATACCTGTCAGCTGCAGCCCTAAAACTATGCATGGAATATGCAGATCAAGTATAATGTGCATAAAGATCATGATCCACAAAGTGAGGAATAGTTGTATCTTTAAAAATTAACGTTGTAGTGCAAAAGTACAGCTATCTTTCTTATGAATAGTTTTAATTACTTCAGTACAGTGCAGGAGTAAAAGTACTTAAGTTACCTTTCACCACTGATGAGAAAACTAAATCATGACACACCTTTTCAAGTTGGCATATTCCATCTGACTTAATGGTGACCTGCACTGATGATGATGATTTTATACCTAATGTTTCTAATGATGATTTTTGTCTATTCATTTTATTAACTTTTAATGTATATTACATAACTGTCTGATATAGCTATGGACACACTGCTGCTTGTTTTTTAAACGGTGTCTTGAAAGGTTCTCTGAAATTCGCTTAAAACTAAAATGCATTATTACCATTATTATAATTATTATACATATTAGAAACACCAAAGCCTTGACACCTCTTAAAAACATAGTTTCAACCAGTATTGGACTTTAATACCGTCATGACAGCAGGATTTATGGCAAAACTGTTGTATTAGCCTGCCTTAGCTTGTGGCTATGTGTCCCTAATAAACTGGCAGCTAAGCTAAGTGTAGCTTCCTTGCTACGTGAGAGCTCTAGCTAAAGGGTTCATCTGTCGTTACCTTTCTTTTCTCCTGCTTGAGTTTCATGAACATGAGATGTCTTCGCTGTTTGTTCTTGATTTCGGACACACTGAAGGTGGGGGGAAAGGCAGCTGCTGCTGGCTCGCTCGTCTCCATCTTCTCCTCCTTCGTCTCAACTCCGCCACCTTCTCCACCTCCATCTCCCTCCTGACTCACACTCTTCTTCTTCTTTGGCGTCTTATTCTTTTTTTTCTTACCTTTGTTGTCCTGACTAACGGGGACCTCTGTGATGTCCATCTTGTGTCAGCTATCTGTTTTCCTAATTTTTTCACGTGTGTAGCACTGGCTTCCTGTGCGTGTGCTCACGAATGGGAACCGGAAGTGAGTGCGTTCCGGCGGTCAATGAAAATATGGGGACACCTAGTGGTGAGGAGGAGGAAGGGCGGCGCTCACTTTAATTACACCCACTGTAAAACAGCTACAAGAAAGGGTTTGGATTTAAAAACAGAAAGTAAAATGTTATACTCATACGCAACATTTAAAGTTATCTAGTAATGTATGTTTTGGGTGCTGACTCGGACTGACAATCTCTATAGACAAAAATGGGCGAGTATTTCAAGTTCAAGTTATTTATTGTCATATGCACATCAGTTACAGAGAAGCAGTCACTGGCAACGAAACTCTTAAATGGGAGTTTATTAGCATTCATAAGTAAATATAGAAAGAACAGGTGGAGACCAGGGCTGGTTGGTACACTTTTTACTCTCTACCAATTTCCGGTAGCATAATTCATCTTATTCTAATCAGCAACAACTGAAAGGTTAAGCTATAAACAAACATTTAATTAAAAAAAGAAACCAAAAACATGAATATTTAATTCATATCTGCCCATTTTTAAAACCAAACAACTTTTTAAGCAATATTTCAGTAGGACTGTCCAATTAATTTTGGCATAGACCATTCAAAACAATAATTAAAAAAAAACCCCATTGTTTTCAGTCTTTTAAAATTGTTTTAATCTCTCAGAATAGAGTTACAATTACAGCTGTTAATTTTACAGTTGGTTGGACCATGTGCCAACCAACCCCACTCACATTTGACCCAACTTTGTGATGAAATTATGTCAACTACCATCACTCAGCACAGATCTCCTAATCTTATATCAAAATGTATCTGATTTATTTGTCTGTTATCTAGAACACTTTTTCAGTATTCCCATCTAACATAGTTCTGTAATAGCCCTCTCTTTTACTTGTGATACTATAAAACTGAAATGCTGCCCTCACAGAAAAAGTTAGTAATTTTCAGATTTATTAACATGTAGATGAGTAAAGGTTTTTATGTCAATTTTTTGTTTCTGTGACTGTCAAAAGCAAAACAGCTGTGTGCCAACCTAACTGACCTAACTAACTAACCTTCCCGGTCTAAGAGATAAAATTGTGTAAGTTCAAATATAGGGATGAAACATAACATATATAAGGTGTAAAATAAGATAATAGCAATTTGTGGAGGACAGTCATTGCAGAATGAATAAATTGAATGAATATATGTATATATATGCACACACAAACTGATCAGCCACTGGCAGATTAAGTGAGTAACACTGACCATCTCGTTACAATGCGATGTTCTGCTGGCAAACCTTGGGTTCTGGCATTCATGTGGATGCCACTTGACACACTCCATCCAAACAAAAACCATGAAGGCCCTGAAACACTAAGCTGCCAGTCAGCCATCGGTCAGTGTTGGGCCTTTGGTAAGCATCCATGGCTCTTGTCACTGCGGTGTGTCCCACACCATTGGCCGTCGTTGGCACTAGTCAGCTTTTTTCACGCCAGTTCAGCATGTTGAATCGGCATCAGCGAATGCAGAGCCTGTCGGTGAATGAAATCCCCCTGATTGGCAGCTCAGCTCAGTGCACAAGAAGAGAAACGTAAGTGAGGAAAGTAAACAAAGAGCTTAAGTGAAGACGAAGTGAGGTCAAAACAAATTTGTTTTTGTTCTCTTGTGTATGGTAAATATGCTTTGTTCTTTTTGACATTGGATTGTGTTGTGAATATGCTAACTGGCTAACTAGCAGCAACACAGTTTTCCAGTTTACCTTTGAATGACGATTACAGAAGACCGCCATCTGCTGGTGTTGAGTTATTTCCTCTTACGCAAGCATGTAATGTATGTGCTGACTGGCCGTTGGCTGAAGCCTTTGTGGTGTGTCCATGTGCAACTTTTTGGTCGAGACGCAGGTGACGTGAGGCGACATGAGGCGCCGTGGGGTGACTCAGCAGGGGGCTTTCATTGCTGCTAGTTTTCTGAAGTCGGTTTCACGGTGTTTGGTGTTGATGCTGGGGTGTTGTAGACAAAGTACATGCCCTCATGGCAACGGCACTCCCTGATTGTAACCTAGCAATCTCCGTCCATAGAATATGTCAAGTGGCATCCACATGAGTGCCAGGACCCAAGGTTTCCCAGCAGAACACTGCATTGTTACGAGATGACCAAAGTTATTTACTTCACACGTCAATGTTTTGGCTGATCAGTATGTATGTATAGAGGTTTAACGCTGACCATGTGAAGCAGGCGGCAGTTTGAAGAGTCCAGTCCTAGGACCCCGTTTTATTTTTGTTGAGATGATTTTTTTGTGTTTGAATCTGTTTGCTGATTTCCCCGCTCTTCTAACAGTGGCTGGGAACTTGAGCTGGTGTTTGGGTTTTGGTGGTGCACGTTTCCTCTTGTTTACATTTGAATGAAAGTTGATGCGCAACATGTGATTACGTGGATGTGCAAAGTTACACGGATCATACTTTGTGATTATGCCAGTGAAAGCCTTTAAAACTGCATTGTTGTCAGTGCAAATTGCTCCTCCACCTCTTTTCATCTGACTCACTTCCCTGTTCATATCAGCTATGCAGGTCCAGCTACCTTTAGGAGTCACACACCACTTGGAGTGATCTACAGTATCGCTGAAGGGATTCCCATTCAGCAGCGTTACTTCCTTCACATTGTAGACATGATGAGGGATACTGGTGCTGCAGTTAGAAGGCAGAGGGCGATGCATCTTTCCCCAGCTCTTCACATACAGATTCTCCTTCAGATAGTTCACAATGAGGCCGGAGTAAAGATCTATAATAGTAAAGACAACAAAACAAAACACAATACTGTTATCTATGAAAATGTGCATTTAACAGAAGAGTTCCACCACTGAACACATCTACTATAAATGCACGATAATATCAGCATGTCATCAGTATTGGCCAATATCGGCTTTAAAAGGAACTATCAGATAATACTGAGGGGGACATGTCCCCTTCATGAAACTACACATTTCAGACAGATATCCTTCAAATTAAAACACTTACCATCCCCAAAACGTGTGTACTTTGCAAAGCTGGAAAATGTACGTCCTGTCATTGACGTCAGATTCTTGACACTAAACCAGGGCTCCGTCTTTGGGTAGCAGCTCCGCTGTGCAACACACTGCAGCTCACTGTGAAAGGTTTTCGGGATCTCAGAGTCATAGGAGTAAGCATGGATGTACTTGAGCTGCAAACCTGTGAATACAAATTGAAGTTTTTACTGCATTGTGATTCCTTTTGGTGAATATGTTTCATAACAAGACAGAAATGTAACAGGCATTAACCTACCTATTTCTTTGAATTGATCATAGGAGAAAGTGACACACATAAATGTTTGAGCGTTAGCATTTCCACTGCTTGGCCAGAAGTCTTTCCTGCGATACGTTGGGAATTTTGGTGTACTGTGTGAGAGCCAAACTCCAGTCTGTCTGTCTAACAGCACGACTCCTTTACAGAGTAAAACAGAAAAAAACAGAGCTTTGTTACATTATATTTCTCACTTTGTACAAAAGTGGAACATCGCTGCACCCACCTTTACTGTGGCCAAATGATGGAGGAGCAACATATGGTTCAGGAGGTTGATCACTATAGAGCATGTATCCAAAGCCTTCAGTCTACAACAAAACAACAGAAATCAGTGTCCTGGTCATAATGGCACACAAGAGAGGCAAATGTCCTCATTCAAGTCACCTTTGTGTCGTAGAAGTCCAGCAGAGGTTTCAGGGTGTTTGCCAGAGTGCCAGATTTACTGTTGATTTCCTCTTTGCTGACTTTCCATCCGTCGGTGCTCTCATCCATGTACAGATATGACAAACCACCACCATTCACATTGGGAAACTTGTACAGGATATACCTTATAATGCAGGAAAAAGTTAGAAAAATTAAGCTGCTTGCAATAGATTTTATTGTACATTATATTTAGCTGGGAATGAGCATAAGTTCCACCAACCAGTCCACCTCGTTTCCTTTGTCATCCCTGCATTTCACATCTGAATGACACCCTTGAAAAAGGATCCCAACACTTAGGAGGAATCTCATCATTGTTCCCTGAAACGGCCGAACAAAACCGTGAGAGAATTACAATGAGAAGTCAGAATATCTGACTTCCTCTTCTCATTGAGCTGAATTGGGTTTAATGATTTTTTTTCTATCATTTGAACTGTAGATTTTAACATAACATTCGAGATCATGACATATTAGCAGTCTCTCTCAGGACCCAGGTGTGGGGTGAAAAGAAAGGTGTGGTATCAGTGGACAAGTTCTACATTTTTAAAAAAGCCACTTCCTGGACCATCAACATCCAATATTGCGACACAACCACTGTCAAATCAACAATTAGCATTTCAATGAAATTGCTTCCCTGAGAAAACTTTTTATAATGTAACAAACCATCAAAACAAAAACTTGTGCACAAAGCAGGTTAACAACAAATAATATTTATGTAAGAAAAACTCAGAGGCTCTTGAATTTGTGCTTGAATATTTTCTCATGAAATATGAAAATGAACAGTTTTGCTTTATTCAGAGAGACAATATTTTATTACTTTTCACGCCACATATGGCTGTAGTTTGAAGTCAAAGAATTTGCATCTAAAACATGAAGCTCATCATATAATGTTCTGCATTTTACACATGCGTTATGCTGCATGTTACACACTCTGCAAGTTATTTCTAATTGCTTTATTACAATTACAGTGAAGTACAAGAACTAAACAGTACTCCACATACAATTCTCACTGTAATAGTAGTTTGCAACAAATTAACAAATAGAAATATAAATTATAGCCTGTGCTATGACACCTTTCAAAATCATATTTCTATACTAACTAGTTTCTTTCTCTAACAATAAAAATCTTGTATTTCCCTTTTTGTTTTAATCTGTTATTAAATTTTAATTAATTCTTTAACCCTGTAAACTTTATACTTACAAATCTTGCGATCTCCATTTCCCTGCTCTTACTGTGAGATCCTTACAGTGAAGTGTACATCCCTTTTTGACAGAAGTTGCCCCTGCCTTATCTCACTGTCAAAATCAAAACCCACACGTCTTACAGTCCATCAACTTCCTTATCACTTGCCCACTAACTTCTCTATACGGCAAATAATGTATTGACTGTGCGTGGAAAAAACATGATGTTGACTTTATTGGTTCTTCTTTTTGCACAGCAGAACAGAAAGAACAAAGGGGACACATAGACATGACTGAGCTGCTGTGCTTCTTCAAACATGCTTGAATTAAGAGTGAGCTTCTCTGGAAATACTGAGTATATTCTCACGAAATGAGAGTTTCACAGTGACTCTGTCTTCTTAGAAAACTCAGTGGCCTTGGTGTTAGCCAGCAGATTTTAAAATTAGTGTACAAAACCATGGTTGAGAGTGTTTTAACTTTTCACCTTCCTGCCTGGTACGGTCACCTTAACTGTATATTTAAGAATAAACTCTGCAGGATTGTGACACTGCCAAGTAAAATAGTTGGCAGGACACAAAAGCCCTTGACCCAACTCTTTACAGAAAGGACGAGGAAGAAAGCGAGGCGTATGTTGGCAGATAGCTCTCACCCTCTGTTTAGCCAGTTTGAACTCTTGAGCTCTGGGAGGTGCTATAGAGTCCCTCTGGCAACCAAAAATGTATTTAAGAAGTCCTTCATCCCGAGTGCCATCAGTATCCTTAACTTAACCAAATGATTGATAAGTTTTAAACCACAGACAGACAATGTGCTGATTTACTGTTAAGTGTTTTTGTAATGACTTTGTTTGTTTTACTCACCGTTTGTCTGCTTTTACAATGTTGTCTTCTGTGTTTGGTGAGCCGAAGACAAATTTCCACTCATGATGAGCAATAAAGATAGACACCGATCAGCCAAAACATTAAAAACACTGACAGGTGAAGTGAATAACTTTGATTATTTTGTTCCAGTGCATTGTTCTGCTGGGAAACCTTTGGTTCTGATACCACCTAACATGTTCCACCCACTCAAACACAGTTGCAGACCAAGTACCTCCCTTCATGGCAGCAGTATTCCCAATGGCAGTGGCGCACCATGCCACACTGCAAACCTTTTGGTGGCACAGTCATGGCTGTAAACGCTGCCAATGTCTAGTTAAAAAACACCCACTTTTGTTGTTTGGTGGTCATTCATGGCAGCACCACGACAATGTTACCACGCGCATGGTGTAGCTTGGTAGAAAGACAATAGTTCCGACATCAAACTGCTCACAACAAGGTCTGTGGATTATCTTGAGTAACTGGGTCATGATTTCTGGAAAGAGACGTTGCTGTTGAGATTTCCAAATGTATGGTTTTTTTTGGCTTTGAGCACCGCAAGCCGAGTGCCATTTAGTTCTATTATATTCAAGAGAAGGCAGACATCTCTACGGTCGATATCTCCAACACTCTGCAACTTACACCAAAACAGTCTCCACTGAAAAAAAGAACTTCAGGTATTTTTGACTTTTGTGTGAACTGTTCCTTTAAGGCCCTTTCTTAAAGGGTGTCCAAGTGTCAAAATCTAATTGTGAGATTTTAGTTATTTTAGTTGTGAGCATACAGTATGTGTTAGACATTCCTAAAATGTGTTAAGGTGCGGACACACCAAACCGACATCAAAGAACTAGCGGCGACGAAAGCCAACTGTTGCGTTGCGTTGCCTCATGTCACCCTGTGTCAGTTGCATTTGAACACACTACAAAGACTACATCTGACGGCCATGTAGCACGTACGTTCTGTGAGGATATAACGCAAAAAGGGAAACCGGAATTCCGAGGAATGCATGAGATAAACAAAGTAGTGGAGTCAGAGAGTGGTACATCCTGTCAGCTGAGGGAGTGCAGCTGAGCACAGCAGCACCTCCACAGACTATGACATCCAGACGGTCCCGGTGTTTCCTCCGCAGGCTCCACTTCACTCAGCTGCCCGACAAACCCGCTGCTACTTCCCACTTTAACCTGAATAACAAACCGGGGCTCGGTGCTCCGGTTGGATCCAAACGGAGAGCCAGGGCTAGCTGGGAGGCTAGTGGAGGCTAACTGGCTGTGCTTCCCTCCGGTCATGCTGTGGCTAAGCCTCACAGCTAGCCCCGGTTTGTTATTCAGGTTAAGGTGGGAAGAAGCAGCGGATTTGTCGGGCAGCTGAGTGAAGTGGAGCCTGAGGAGGAAGTGCCGGTTAGCCCCGGTTTCACTACAGGCAGATTCACTCGCTACAGGGGCGAGGAAATAAAACCTAAACAGCCAGTGAGAGAGATCTCTCTCACCGACAAGCTCTGCCGCCGATTCAACATGCTCAATCGGCCGGAAAGCCGCCGACGCCCAAGTGCCGACGGTGCCGATGGTGCAGGACACACCGCAAAAACTAGGGCGACAGACGCTCACCGATGGCCCGACTTTGACCGACGGCCAACTGTCGGCTTGGTGTGTCAGGGCCTTTAATCTGGAGCCAGATAATCTCCAAACAACGACAGACTGTAGACATTACACAGAGAGTTGGAGGTTCTTGGAGTTTTTTGGAGCCCAGAAGCTTATTTTTACCCACCAGCCCACAAACCGTTTATTTTATCCACAGCTGACAGAGGGCTAATCTCCCATAAACACAAAAACAACAACATAGAATTTGTACTTAAAATTGATTTAATTTTAATTAATTTCATCTGGAGTTGTACTATAAAAGTTAGAGCTTTGGCATGATTTTAAAAAATAAAAACATTGCAGTTTTTCCTTCATTAACACACACAGAATACCAAAGACAGGGATTAAAATACACCAAACTGTGTATGTCAACTTCTAATTTGTCAAGCATGAAACAGTTTTAAGTCTGGATATGTAAAGGTGTAGTAGGTGCTATCGGTGATATCTTGCTCTGGTCTTAGTTTTTGGTATTCCTGCTACACTTTTCTCTACATGGTGATAAAGAGTTGTAACTTTACAGCTCTGTGTGTAGAACAGAAGGGGGACGCTCACGTTTACATCGTTCATAACGTGTTATCAGGGCATTAAAAGCTCTTCCAACGGCAATGTCATCGGTGCAAATTGCTCCTCCGCCTCTTTTCATCTGACTCTCCTCCCTGTTCATGTCAGCTACGCAGGTCCAGCCACCATCAGGAGTCACACACCACTTGGAGTGATCCACAGTATCGCCGTAGGGCTTCCCCTTCAGCAGCCTCACTTCCTTCACATTGTAGACATTATGAGGGATGATGAGGCTGCAGTTAGAAAGCAGAGGGTCACTGCGCTTCTTTCCCCAGCTCCTCACATACAGATTCTGCTCCAGATAGTTCACGATGAGGCCAGTGTAAAGATCTATATGTAGGGAACCAAACAAAACACAATACTGTAATCAACACATTTCTAGAAATGCATGTCACACATACATATCAAAAAGAAAACTTTGAACAAAACAAAAATGCAGTGACATACAGTAGATGGCACATGACATGACAGTCTGTCACTTTGCTCTGTCAACAAACACTTTAGGTTTATCATCAACCTAATGTGAAATCTTAACACTTGAAACCTGATTAACTGATTGATGCACACACTTACCATCCCCAAAACGTGTGTACTTTGCAAAGCTGGAAAATGTACGTCCTGTCATTGACGTCAGATTCTTGACACTAAACCAGGGCTCTGTCTTTGGGTAGCAGCTCCGCTGTGCAACACACTGCAGCTCACTGTGAAAGGTTTTCGGGATCTCAGAGTCATAGGAGTAAGCATGGATGTACTTGAGCTGCAAACCTGTGAATACAAATTGAAGTTTTTACTGCATTGTGATTCCTTTTGGTGAATATGTTTCATAACAAGACAGAAATGTAACAGGAATTAACCTACCTATTTCTTTGAATTGATCATAAGAGAAAGTGACACACATAAATGTTTGAGCGTTAGCATTTCCACTGCTTGGCCAGAAGTCTTTCCTGCGATACGTTGGGAATTTTGGTGTACTGTGTGAGAGCCAAACTCCAGTCTGTCTGTCTAACAGCACGACTCCTTTACAGAGTAAAACAGAAAAAACAGAGCTTTGTTACATCATATTATCTTTGACTTTGAAGGAAAAAGTGGAACGTCGCTACACCCACCTTTACTGTGGCCAAATGATGCAGGAGCAATATATGGTTCAGGAGGTTGATCACTATAGAGCATGTATCCAAAGCCTTCAGTCTACAACAAAACAACAGGAAACTCAAAATCTGTGTCTTGGGTTAAACGCTGTGCTGTCCAAGAGAAACATTCATCCTTATATACGCACCTTTCTGTCGTAGAAGTCAAGCAGAGGTTTCAGGGTGTTTGCCAGAGTGCCGGATGTACTGTTGATTGCCTCTTTGCTGACTTTCCATCCGTCGGTGCTCTCATCCATGTACAGATACGACAAACCATCATCATTTATATGGGGCAACTTGTAGAGAATATACCTAATGATACAGAGGTAAATATATTCTATTACATATTCAGCCGACACAGAGAATAGGTGAAAATAGATAGTGCCGCAACACAAAACTTCCACCAACCAGTCCACCTCTTTTCCATTGTCATCCCTGCATTTCACATCTGAATGACACCCTTGAAAAAGGATCCCAACACTTAGGAGGAATCTCATCATTGTTCCCTGAAACGATCAAATATAAATGTGAGAGAATTACAATGAGAAGGGGAAGTCAGATTATAAAAGGGACATTTTGACTCATGATGTTCATCTTACTCGTTTCAACTTAATTGGTTTGAACAATTTTGCTTCTAACATTTTAAACTGTTGATTATAACAATGGCCAGAACATTAGAGATCATGACATATTAGCAGTCGCTCTCAGGACCCAGGATTTGAAAGTATGATGGGGTAAGATGGTGGTGTGAACAGGAAGGTGTGGTAGGCCTATCACTGGGCAAGTTCTACATTTTTAAAAAGCCACTTCCTGGACCATCAACATCCAACTGAGCAACACAGCCACCGTATTAACAAGTCAAGGATCAACTAATACAATAATGAGAGAATTAA